GGCATGAACGAGGTCTTATAGCCGCACTACGGGATACTATACTCTGCTCGACGCAAACTACATGTACCTAGCGCCCTGTATGAGGTAGCATTGGCCTTGAGCTTGTGTGGTACGGCGGGCCAGCATTACACATGGCTCTGCCGTGTACATATTAAGCGTAGAGGCGACAAGCCGAAGGATCGACCTGCGCTTCGACTCTCTTCATTCGTTATTTTTTTTCTTATCTTGCGTTACCTGGGCAGAGTCGCAAGTCACCCTTTCTCTCGTCAAATCTCTGCTGCAAGCGAGTCTTTCTTCATTATATAATTAATTTCTATTTAATCTTTATTCTTAACATATCTATCGCAATGGGTACGCCGTCAGATGATGGCAAGGCTGTGCCAGTCCGAGATCCAGTCGAGACCGGTAGCGTTTCTGTCAGTAGCGATGAAGATGTTATTCCCAAGGGCGCTCTCGACCCTGTGTACGAGGCAAAGGCTAAAGTGCTGAATCACGCTGTAAGTCATTCTTCTGTCTGTTAGCTCGCGACCACTATGACAGGCGGCTACAGTCAAGAAGCTGTAGGCATTGTGCTGGTAACAGTAGCTAATGAAACATGTCTCACTTAGATTCAAGAAATCGGAATGGGATGGTACCAATGGCAGCTCTTCATTGTCGTCGGCTTCGGCTGGGCCAGCGATAACCTGTGGCCCATTGTAACCTCTCTCATTTTCACGCCCATCGCCAACGAATTCTCTCCTAGCCGCCCGCCGCTTTTGACTCTCGCACAAAACATCGGTCTCTTGGCTGGTGCCGTCTTTTGGGGCTTTGGATGCGACATCTTTGGTCGCAAAATCGCCTTCAATCTTACCCTTGGTTTGACGGCTCTCTGGGGCATGGTCGCTGCCGGCGCACCCAACTTTGCGGCAATTGGCATCTTTGACTGCTTTTGGTCTTTTGGGGTCGGCGGAAATCTTCCCGTCGACTCGGCCATCTTCCTCGAATTTCTCCCCCCGACTCACCAATACTTGCTAACAATCCTCTCCATCGACTGGGCTGTGGCTCAGGTGATTGCGACCCTTATAGCATGGCCTCTTCTGGGTAACCTCACCTGTTCTCAGGAAGAGAAGCCTTGTCTCAAGCATGACAACATGGGCTGGCGATACTTTTTGATTACCATGGGCGGAATTACGCTTCTTATGTTCTTGGCTAGATTCCTACTCTTCTCTCTATACGAGTCGCCTAAGTATCTTATGGGCAAGGGCCGTGATGAAGACGCTGTTCGAGTGGTTCACGAAGTCGCCAGGCGCAACGGCAAGACCAGCGCCCTGACAATTGAAGATCTCAAGGCCTGTGAGCCCGAGGGTTATGTCGCCCAGGTGGACGTCTCGACTGCCGTTAAGAGACATTTGGTTGAACAGATTGACATCAAACAAGTCAAAGCCTTGTTCTCGACCTTCAAACTTGGCTTGTCCACGACCCTTATCGCCGCCATTTGGGCCTTGATTGGGCTGGGTGAGTTTCATCTCTATTGAATTTTTTTTTATCTGCGCTAAGAATAATACCAGGTTTCCCTCTTTATAACGCGTTTCTGCCTTTTATCCAGGCCGAAAAGGGTGTTGATTTTGGCGATGGAAGCACATATCTCACTTACCGCAACAGCTTGATCATTGCTGTCCTGGGTGTTCCAGGAGCTTTGATTGGCGGCTTGCTCGTTGAATTGCCTAGAATTGGCCGCAAGGGAACGCTGTCTCTTTCTACGGTTCTGACTGGCGTCTTCTTGTACTGCTCTACAACTGCCAAGAGCAGCGAGTCGCTTCTTGGCTGGAACTGTGCCTACAACTTCTGCAGTAACGTCATGTATGCCGTGCTTTACGGTTATACTCCTGAGATCTTCCCGACTCCTCAGCGCGGTACTGGCAACGCAATTGCTGCTACCGCCAACCGAATATTTGGCATTATGGCTGTACGTATTATTGCTCCTATTCGTTTGTTCAAGGCTCCATATGGGTGTGTCTAACTAATCTGAAATTGTAGCCAATTATTGCCATGTTTGCCAACCTTCAAACGTCCGCACCGGTATATACGAGTGGCGCCTTATTCATTGCTGCTGGCATTCTCACCCTCTTCTTGCCGTTTGAGTCAAGAGGAAAGGCTGCTCTGTAAAGCATCGGATGACTTTTAAAGAATTAGATGACTAAAGGACTGAGTAACGCGTTTTGTATATAGAGAACAAAGAGAATTATACTGGACCTAGGGGCGATCAAGTAAGGGAAAAAATAATAGTAATGCGATGCCATGGGTTGTTCTTGTCCGACGGATTCTTATAACTCATTGGGCATGACTTTCTACTTACACAAGTATAATAAACCTTCCCCCGATCCTTCTCTCTAATAGCATCGGCTTGATTCATACACATATGGCGAGGAGCATCAGCGGCTAGTCATTTACGACATTTTCCGACCCTTTTGAAAGGCCGGCCGCTTAGAAAGAGTCTTTAGCCACTTGTTGATATGCAGGAACAGGTCCAGCGACACACCGGTGCATTCTACAGATTTTCCCCATAGTTGAAAGTCAAAGAGAAAATGGAGCGACTAGAATCCCTCCCAGAATCATCAAATATATGATTCAAAATCTATTAGTCAATATCTTTGCTCATGATCTCATTCGACTGTTGGGAATTATTGTAAAACTATATGATATGACTTCCCGTTAGCTCTTTGCCGAAGATGGAAGTAAATCAGCCAGCATTAAATGACGGAGTTGCTGATTGATTCACAGTTCATATGTACTTATACCGACGCCAGGCATCAAGAAAAAACACACTATCCGATATGGTGTAGTGGCTAACATCGCTCGCTCTCAATAAATGTTGAACCGAGCAGCCCTGGGTTCGATTCCCAGTATCGGAGTCTTTCTTTTTGCTTTTTTTTGCTCTTTTTGCTTCTTTTGCTATCTTTTTTTTCTCACCAATTTAGAGCTACGATTTCAGACTAAACCTATATGAAAGCCTGGGGTGCAAATCGGCTGCTATTGAGAGAGATGGACACCGGAACTCGAGCTCTGAAGCTTGACAGGCGCAAGCGCTGGCTTCATAGATGTGAAATTTCGAGATAACGTTAAGCACATGAGTAACTTGAAGATTAGTTTATATCTTTCGCTTTCGACAGATTCCAGTAGAAGATACATATTGAAAAATCTACGGTAAAGTTACATGGGGAGTAAACACAACTCACCAGGTAGGCATATGTTGTATTGGTATAAAGTAAAGTTCATTGCAACCTGCTCAATTCTTACGCAAACTATGAACGTTATTTGGGCAAATATGACTAGTCACTTTCGACATGAGTGATTTATTCCATCTCCGGCTGTGAATGTGAATACAACTAACAAGGGTCCTTCTATTGCAACCTAGAACAAATAGGAAGGTATCGAACGATATTTTTTTTCTCTCTCTCTCTTCTGTTCTCCTATTTCTCTATAAATAGCTGAAGAAAGTTATTCTGGATTTAGGATATTTACATATACTGAGCATCCGGGTATAGACACTTACACCAGTTTTGAAACAAACCCCTTCTGCAAACACTACCTTCTACCTGATTTTATAAAACCAGTAATGTCGCAGCCAATTCGAAATGTGGTGGTATTTGCGGTAGGAAATCTATCCAACACAATCGAAATTGTCATGAAAATTCTAATAAAGCTTACTAGGCTGGCGGTAGTCTGGGTCGTGCTCTTATAGAAGCACTACAACGAGAAGGATTCACCGTGTCAGCTGTGACAAGGCCATCGAATTACATTTCGTATGGGCCCAATGTTACTATGCATCGTAGTGAATACGATGACTTCGACGCACTTGTCGCCATCTTTCGGGGACAGGATGCAGTCGTGTCCACAACCGGGACTTTTGCCTCTAAATATCAGTTGACGGCTATCAACGCCGCAGCCACAGCAGGCGTGCGCAGGTTCTTACCTAGCGAGTATGGAGGGAACACATCTTTAGTTGGCGTGACCAATTATCCCCCCTTTGCCGCTGAGAAAAAGGCTATTGTCGACCATCTTCGTACCAAGGAGTCGCAGGGGCTTACCTGGACGGCACTTTGTGTGGGAATTTTCTTTTCATGGGTATGTCTCTCTTCGATAAATTGTCGTTAGGTTTGCTGACATATTCACGTAGGTCCTCGAAGAAGGTCGCGGAACCTTGGGGTGGGATATTGACAAGGGCGAGGTGACAATCTATGATTCAGGTAACCAGGAGTACGATACAAGCACTGTTGATCAGGTAGCAAGATCAACTATTGCAATTTTACGAAACCTAGAGGAGACTGAAAATACCTATGTATTTGTGAATTCCTTTACTTCCACGCAGAATCAAACTCTATCTGCGATGGAGAGGATTCAAGGAAAGGCATACAAAGTCAGTCGTGACACTTCCGCTGCGGCAATTGCTCGAGGCCTGGAGCAGCTAGAGAGAGGAGAAGTTGAAGCAGGCTATCATGATCTTGTAACAGGAACGATATATGACCCCGGTCATTTCACACTCTTCAAGGTTGATGAAGTTAGCAAATGGAAGAAAATTCTCCAACTAAATGACAATGAGGATATTAATGGAGTTATCACAGAAGTACTGCGCAAGAAACGTCTCATCTAGAAAACAAGATATCTAAATAGCTGCGGATTGTTTAAGACAGAGCTTACAAAAGGTCAAATAGAACATATGGCATCAGGTTATTTTTGTTAAACATTTTAGCAATCGTCTTTAAGTAGGTAGATATGTGTCACCTTAGACGGACGCGATGAATATTTTTTGCCCGCGCTTCTGGGCAGCGTCAATTCGCCACAGCTCTTTATGATTAGAGCCGTCTTTTTTACTTACAATGTATAATCCGGTGTTCCTTTTGTCCCATTTTAAGACTCTTGGTCTTTTCTTTCTCGTCTACACACATACGCACTGCGGGTTTGCGACCTTCACTCCCAATATGTCTATAGTCTATACTAGCTCCTCGACTAGCAATTCAACATCCGATATGGTGTAGTGGCTAACATCGCTCGCTCTCATCAATGAGCGCCGAGCAGCCCTGGGTTCGATTCCCAGTATCGGAGAGCTTCATTTCTTTTTGCCTTTTTTCCGTCCAACATAAGTCCTCTTGTTCTTATTTACTATGTGCCAGCCAACAACAACCGTTATCTTCATTATGATTGAAGCGGGTCGTGACCTTGCAAATGTCGAGCTGCTAATTGGCCCTCTAATAACGGACCCCTGGTCGGCAGATCTCGATAATTACGGCAGCTCTCTACCAGGCATTTGAATAGATTGTGAGGGCACAGTGGCTCCAACCAACAGAAAAAAAAGAGAATATAGATTCGTATACTTATATGTGTTTTAGTTATCGTATATAATAGCTCAATGATCCGATTTATATTGAATTGTTTTGGATAAAACATTCCCAATGCCAAGAGACAGACCCAACGGTGCATCACGTGAGCATCATTCTGGCCTCGGAGCGTCTGGACTTAACTTGCAGGTCACGGGCTGACAAGGCGGTGACACGACAATATCGTACGAACTAACACGTTACAGCCATTGAGGGGCAGAATAGGATTGTTAACAAACAATTGATATATCGATCTTTGGATACAGACGGCGATCAGCATGGGAGACGCATCTAAACCCACGGCGGATCCTCAAGTGACCTTCTCGTCGGGCCGAGTTGAGAGCAACAGCAAATCTGAAGCACCGGATTTGCGCATACTGCACTACAACGATGTTTATCATGTCGATCAGGCCAGTGCAGAGCCAGTTGGTGGCCTGGCAAGATTCATGACGCTCTGCAAGGAGTACAGGGACGGGGAGCAGTATCATGGCCAGCCTGGACTTCTGACCCTGTTCTCAGGCGATGTTTTCAACCCCAGCCTGGAAAGTAGTGTTACCAAGGGAAGACACATGGTGCCGGTATTAAATGCCATTGGAACGGATGCCAGCTGCGTTGGAGTAAGTTGTCTGATCCTCGAATTGCTTTCGTGAGATGAAGTACAGCAGCTGACCAAACCCCTCAAACCTCAGAACCACGATCTTGATTTTGGAGTCAAACAATTCGAGCACTTGGCCGAAAAATGTGAATTTCCATGGCTACTGGCCAATGTTTTGGATCCCGCGCTGGGAGAGGATGTTCCCTTGGGCAACGCCAAAAGGACTCACATGCTCACTACCTCGAACGGCATCAAAGTGGGTCTGATTGGCCTGGGTGAGAGGGAGTGGCTTGCAACTATTAATAGTCTTCCACCAAATCTTATCTACAAGTCCGCCAGCGCTGTCGCCAAAGAGCTCGTGCCAAAGCTGCGAGAGGAGGGTGCGGAGATTATTATCTGCTTGAGTCACATGCGTGAACCAAACGACAACAAATTGGCTGATCAGACGGATGGCATCATCGACATCATTCTCGGTGGCCATGACCATTACTACGCTCATAGCTTCAGGAACGGTACTCATGTCCTGCGCTCAGGAACTGACTTCAAGCAGCTTAGTTACATCGAGGCCCGGCGGAAGCGGGATGACCCCCAACGATGGGATTTTGATATCTGGAGACGAGATATTACGTCCGATATACCTGAAGACGAGCCCACGGCCAAACTGGTAGATGGCTTGACGTCCAAATTACAAAAGTCACTGTCCAAGCCTGTGGGATGGACGGCCATGCCACTCGATGCTCGATTCATCACCGCACGTTTGAAAGAATCGAACATGGGCAACTTTGTATGCGATATTATGCGCATACATCATAATGCCGACTGTGCTATCATGGCAGGTGGTACGATTCGCGGTGACCAGATTTATCCGCCAGGAGCTATCCGAATTAAGGATATCACTTCCTGCTTCCCTTTTGAAGATCCGGTTGTCCTTTTGAGGGCCAAGGGACAAGCAATCTGGGACGCGTTAGAGAATGGCGTCTCATTGTATCCCGCCCTTGAAGGAAGATTTCCGCAGGTATCAGGCATCGAATATGAATTTGATCCATCCAAGCCATCTGGTCAGAGAATACTGTCGGTGAAGATTGGGGGCAAAACTTATGAGCCTGAAAAGAAATATGTTTTAGCGACTAGAGGTTATATGGGACGTGGAAAAGGTAAGTCTATCCGAGTACATGAAGATTTGTCAAAGCTATTGAGTTAACTCCGGTGATAGATGGCTTCAGCAGCTTGCTCGTCAAGTCCGAAGGAGGAGAAGTAGAGGAAATTGTCGATGAAGAGAGCGGAATGCTCATCTCTGCTATGCTCCGGCAATATTTTATGGCTCTCCGAACAGTCGGCCAATGGAGCAATTTATCCTCGCATTGGAACCATGTCGCCGATAAATGCGGCCACACTGAGTTGCCATCTGAAGTATTCAAGGGAGAGAGCCATGTATCACGACTCAAGCTTCACGAGGATAAAGCCGACGGGCACAAAGATCCTTGGCACAAATTTTTGCGCTCTCGCTTGGGCTTCAGCAAGAAGCCTCACGACGAGGATAGCGATAATTTTGACACAGGAACAGAGAGTGATCATACGGGAAGCGATTCGGACAGCCAGATAGACCTGGAGATCTTGTTGATGAAAAAATTCTGGGGCCGCTGGGCTCATAGAGCAGGTATCAAGTCTAAGGTGTGCGACTGCCTAAAGGAGTCTGAGTGTGCTGTCGACTGGACGCGAGTAATAGCGCCAGTACTCGAAGGACGTATCAAGATTGTCGGGTCATAAGGGACACATGAACTACTTGATTACTTCTGGGCAGAATAAGCAATAGAAAAACAATTACATACTTGTATTGGACTTCACTTGGGCAATATGCTGCCTATCTTGATAACTGATCAACATCTCAGATTTTCACGAACATCGCTATTTATTTGGACTCCTTTAACGTCATCCCATGTCTCGGATGATGATACACACACATATTTATATGAAAGTTCAAATTCCGACTTTGGATGCATTTCTTACAGGCAACTCAGTTCCCGCAAATGCCGTTAACACACTCCCAGGGATCGGAGCAGTCATCATCGCTGCTGCAAGGAGCACCGAAGCAGTGACCTTCCCACGAACAAGAAGAGCTGCTACCACCGTTGCCGCCGCTGCTGCCACCACCTCCGCCAGTGCTGCCACCGCCACCACCAGAGCTGTTGCCTATACGCGCGACAAGGCTATCACCTAGGGCACTAATACTATTCTCGAAGTCGGTATAGTCCTGGGCATTCCATTGAGCGCCACGAGCGCCAGGGACGGCACCGGAGCCAGTGAAAGCGATGTAGAGAACATCATCTTGATCATGGCCACTATCACCGTTGATGCCGTCACCAAAGCAAGCAGTGGCGAGAGCAATAGAGGCTTCGCCAACCACAGGGAAGTCACCATCATCGCCGTTGGTATCTCCCCAAACACCATAAATCTGAATAAGCTGCATTAGTTGAGGAATTCGCGAAAATAGTAACAATTAGGTTTATATAAAAACGCACCAGTTGATTGTTGCATACAACAGCCATAACGGAGAGGGGCTCTATGCCAACGCTTTGGGGATCGAAGGTCTTCCAGCCAGGTTTGCTGCCGTCGTTACCGAAGACGACATATGGGTGAGCATTGGCGTCGAGATCTTGTTGACCGGTGCCGTAGCTGGCGACAGTATCAGCGAAGGCAGTGGTATCCTGAGTATCGGAAGAGTCGCCACAGCGACCGTCATCAGCAGGGCCTCCCTGAATACCATCACAGTCGACATCCATGTTAGTTAGTTTACCGCCAGTGCCCTGGAGGTAGACAATGCCGTAGTCATTGAGATGGTCACCGCAGTAAGAGGTAGCTATATCAAGGGAAAAACTTCATGTCAGGCAACGCAATTCGTCTCTGTAAATCTTAACAAGAAGTTAGACTTACAACCACCGTCGTTGTCCTCGCTATAAAATCCAGAAGCAAGCTTGTCGTTGCAAGATCCCTGGGCAATGATGGAGTTGTAAAGATTCTGAAGGTTGGCGGGCACAGACTTGGCAGCAGCCGCGCTGGCAAGTGAGGCGAGGACAGCGGCCTTGAGGACAGCCATGATGAACAGTCAGATATTAGATGAGACCTCTTTTTCGAATTGATTCTTAAGCACTGAGCTTGTGACAAATGAATGATTGTCCTGAAGGAAGCGAAACTGGCTCTTTATATAAGTATTAACTGACCGGTGTCGTCAAAGTGGATGGGAATATGTATGCAAGGTTCTTCAAAAAAAAAAAAAAAAAAACACTTGTAACGAAGTATAATCGCCCCATCGGATCATCGGCAGCAATTCAACGGTGAATCTTGAGCTTCCTTTCTGACGGTGGTTGCCAGGCACTAGCAACGCGAGGTTCTCACACCACCCCTGCGAGGTTGGCAATTGACGAATTAGGATTACATGGTCAGAGTCAGATGCTAATACAAAGAGGAAAATACCCCTAGTACATGTATGTAACCCTAATTTAAGCACAGAAGGTAAGCTAGACTTGTAAGGTATCCGCAGCCCTGTTGAATGGGTCCAGAGAGTGACACTCTTGGTGGTTCGGGAGCACATACACCGAGCGCTGCATTTTCTACCGTTGATTACAGGTGAAGACATTTGATATAAATCGGTGGATACATGGCTTGAAGAGTATATTTGGCTACTTTAAGGTCGATGTTGACCGTAATTACCACGATGCCTGCCTCGGCCATACCGGTCTGCTGCGTTCTTGGCTCATCATATCCAACCATAATTTCTAGCTAATCAATCTTCTAGCATTAACATCCCGAAGTGGCAAATGCGATTTTGAGATGAGCCAACTGTTCGAATCCTATCGTTACATCCGATTTCTGCCAGGTGTATAGCATCAACGCAGGAGTAAATACTATCGTGGTTCTGTCCTCGTCGTTGGCGTTAAAGTGCTATGTGACCCCCGCAAAAGATTGGGAGCTGCCTTTTTCAGTTGATGAATGTGGCCCTGGAGATTATACGAGGAAGGGGCAGAGAGTGGTCCATTTTGGACTAGATTAGATGGGAGTTATGGAGCTTACTGCTGACTACAACTTGAGCTGCTTAGACACCCTTTGTACCTCTATCTTAGAACTGCATGCTTAAT